TGTCCTTATACTCAGGGTATCCCTTGGGCAGGAACTTGAAAACTGACAATGCTCAACACTGGGAGCTAAACGCTCCAGTCAGCAGCCCATGACTGAACGCCTGATTCCAAGGCTTCCCTAGGTGACAAGAAAGAAGACTGGCGCATCTGTACAGTATAATTCAAAAACAGCACATGTGGGATCAGGCCACACACATACAGAGTCAGAATAACTTGGTCTGGAGCCAAAAAAGAGCAGGGCTACAAATATAGTTTAAAAATACTTTTTTTAAAAGTCCCATTAAGGGGCTTCCCTGGTGGCGCAGTGGTTGAGAATCCACCTGCCAATGCAGGGGACACGGGTTCGAGCCCTGGTCCAGGAGGATCCTACATGCCATGGAGCAACTAAGCCCGTGCGCCACAACTACTAAGCCTGCGCTCTAGAGCCCGCATGCCACAACTACTGAGCCCGCAAGCCACAACTACCGAAGCCCACGCACCTAGAACCGTGCTCCACAACCAGAGAAGCCACCGCAATGAGAAGCCCGCACACCACAACAAAGAGTAGTCCCCGCTCACGGTAACTAGAGAAAGCCCACATGCAGCAACGAAGACTTAATGCAGCCAAAAATAATACAATAAATTAAAAAGAAAAAAAGTCCCATTAAAAGAATAGCCAAGGCGGTTACCCGCTGTCTGGTGCGGCGACCTGGCGTGGGGAGCCGCGGGAAGGGAGGAGAGGGTGTCACTGTCGCTGATGGCTGAGGCGGCAAGAGAGAAGCTGGATCCCGGGCGGTGGGAGGGAAAGCGGGAGAGAGGGTCTGGTGAGGTGGCAGCGCTCAAGACCACGCTGGGTCAGGCTTGGTTCTTGTGGAGGGGGGTGCAGGGTGCCAAGCCAAAAAAAAGAAGAAAAAAAAAAAGGAATAGCCAAGGGCTTCCCTGGTGGTGCAGTGGTTAAGAATCTGCCTGCCAATGCAGGGGACACAGCTTTGAGCCCTGTTCCGGGAAGATCCCACATGCCGCGGAGCAACTAAGCTAGCGAGCCACAACTACTGAGCCCACATGCCACAACTACTGAAGCGCCCGTGCTCCGCAACAAGAGAAGCCACTCCAATGAGAAGCCCGCACACCACAACGAAGAGTATCCCCGCTCACAGCAACTAGAGAAAGCCCGCACACAGCAATGAAGACCCAACACAGCCAAAAATAAATAAATTAAATTAAATTTTTTAAAAAAGAGCCCTCTTTAAAAAAAAGTCATGAGGGACACAAAATAATTTTAAAAAAAAAAGAATAGCCAAGTGGAAGGGCAGGGATGCAAAACGTGCCCCTTTTCAGCAGGCAGCGTACAGCAGAAGGCCGGTGTGTTCCTTTAGGACAAGTTCTGTACACCTCTGAGAAGTCGGGCTCCCCTCTCAGAATCCTGAGGCCCAAGCCACACAGCGCCAGATGGGCCACTACTGGAGCAGCAGAGGATCTGAAAGCAAAGAGACACTCATCCAAGAAGGAGGCTGCTGAGCACTGGTGGTAGGGGACTGCCACCTTCAAGCTCTGAGTCTGACAAGGGAAGAAATGGGAAAGCCAGTGGCAGATTTAAGCCATGGAGCCAAGCTAAAGGTATGGTGGGACCCTGAAGTACTGAGTGAAATGAACCTAAATTGCCCCCTAAAACCCTGTCCCCTACACTTCCATTCAAGATAAACCGGTCTAGACAAACTAACCAATAATAAAGGCACTTTTCAGAAGGATCCACACCCAGGAATGGCCATGCTGCTGAGGGCACGCCAGTTTCAAGCTGCTCACCAGCCTACGAACTGGGGGAGGCTGACCTAGAACTGTGTGGATGCCCTATCCCTGCACAGCCTTCCCCTGGGCCCAGCCAAGGCCAGGCTGCAGAGGCTGTGGGGTCCAGCCTGACTCAGGAATTGGCTGGGCTGATGGGCCACCCGGCCATCCATCTGCTCTGCGCCCCACGTGCTTCCACTGTATCTGGATTTATCTCTTTCCCAGCAGGGGGAGGGTGGGTGGGGTGAACTGGGAGGACAACAGCCACTGCTGTGGATCCTGGAAAGGCACAGGCCTCAGAGTGAAAATTAACATGGCCCTAAAGGCTGCCCAAGATTCTAAAATACAAAAATTAACTACTGCTTATTCCTTTTATCAGATTTTTCTCTGATATAAATAAACTCTATTCCACTGTTAAGATAAACCCTGCTCTTGAAGAGGTATTTACCCAGAAATGATCAAATGTGCTTAATTTAAGCACCTTTCTAAATGAAGTCTGGACTGTAAGACATCACAACTTCTTTTACTTAGTACCTCTTTAAGAGCCAGGAGCAACTTAACACCATAATCTTAAACAGCACGGATTTCCCAATGTAACATTCCCAAGTTATAACATCTTAGATATATTTTATTTAATAAAATATACTCCTGTTTCTATTTTAGACAGGGGATTAAGAAGACTCTTATCTGTGCTCTAAACAAAGACCAAAGGTGGGCACCATTGCCATGTCGGGGTTCCCCTCTAAAGCCGTGACTGGGAAACATACACTGATATTCTTTCTCAAGTCCTGTCTGCACCAAGGCAGTTTTCCCTTCGTTTCTGGCCCAATTCTGGATGCAGGCACCTAGGCAGAGAATTCAACTTTTCAATGGGAAATGGGAAAAGGCAGTTGAGATCTCCCCTTTTTAAAAAAAGAGAACTCAGAATTTTGAAAGTAAAACTCTTAGAGACTTGCTTCTGTCTCTATTTCTAGAATCAATATTTAATACTTACTACTCAAACAATAATCACGTTATTTTACGTGATGGTCACCTGCAAAGTTCCGCTCCAAGGCAAGAACAAATGAAGTTACTTTCGCTCAGCCTCAGACGTTAAGTTATCCTTGTGTAGATCTGTCTGTTATGGTATGGGGGAGGGCTCCTCCTCTCTCAACTCTGATTTCCCCAGCCACTCTCCAAAGGCTGCAAGCACTGGCTGAAGGTTAAAGGAGGCTCCATGCTTCCCTAAGGAGGCTGAAAAGTGCTACGAAAGAGGCTGCTACTGCCTTGGGGAGGAAATGGCAACACTGAGTCAAACAGTAGCTTTAGGAAGGAGACTGGCAATTTTGTTTGTGCAGCCATCAGTTGCATAAAGGCCAATGATGTCACATGCCTCTTTTATTTATAAGCAAATTTGTTTTTAAGAATAAAACCAAACAAACAAAGAACTGGTACATTAAATATGGGGCAGGAAGTCATTAACTGGGTCCAAAGGCGCTGAAGAGCCTGGGCCGAGGGGCTGGTTAGTGACTTGGGTCACTGGTGTAATCTGTTTCAGGGAGGATTCTTACCAGGTTGGAAAGGCAAATAAAACTTAGAAAATGGCCCTGAAGCAGCCTCTGCTGCCCTGAGAATCACTTTTCGTTTCCAATTCTATTTATATTTCAGGGATAATGGGGGAGAGGGCGTTAGTTAAAATCTTCAGCCATTTTAATTGCTAGATAACGTAATCTTAATGTCTCCAGAAGCCTGCTTCATTTCTTTCAAGAAGTATCAGAGGATTAGAATCAAGGAAAATAAAAATGCCACAGGTCCTAGTCACCTACTTCCTCCCATAAGAAGCCACCACCGGGAAGGAGAAAACATAGGGCCACCAAGGAGCTGCAGAAGTTGCAGGTGGCATGAATGAAGATTTACCTCCCCCACTACCTGAAGGGAAGCGGAGAGTGACCACAGATGCCCAGGGCTTCACCAGCCTTCCCTGGTGAAGAGTGTGCCTAGCACCACACTGCCCAGGGGCCTGCGAAGGAAGGCTGGGAGAGCCCAATGGGATGACCAGGTCACCCCTGGCAACACCACAGCTTCCTAAGCTACAGCTGTAAGCAGACCAATGGCACCCATTAGGCAGGACCTGGCCTGTCTCCTCAGGCAGAACCTTGGCCTAACGGAAGAACCTTCCATTTCTCCCTTATCCTCTGCCAAACACCAAGAGGTGGAGGTGGTAGAGACTGGGAAAGAGAAAATCAGACCAAAAAGTAGCCAGAGTTGTCTACCTTTCATAGGAAAAGGACTAGAACTTGGCTTAGGCCTCTTCTGGAGCTTTCAAGGATTTTCAAAAGAAACATATTTTGGCCACATTGGGCTAGTTCCCAGGAGTTCTTAAAGCCTTAGCTTTAGAAGTACTATTTTTGGGGGGATAACAAATGAAACTTAGTTTGGGTCACTAAGATGAGACGCAGCCAGGAATTCACATTCAGAGGAGGGGCCTAGAAGTACTCAAATCAGTAATAGGAAAGGACTGACCAATACAGACTGAGCCAGAAAATTTTCCTCTTTCCACAGAGGACTAAAGCCAGACTGTCAACTACCTAGAAGGGAACTGTAATGCCCCTGCCTAGATTCAGGCCCCAAGTTATCCCAAAGATTGCTTCCAGGCAGCGCAAGAGCAAGAGCAAGGGGGTGGTTACTCTGAAAGTCAGAGCAGGTGGTACCAAGAGAGGTGTAAGTCTGTAAAGAGACCTCAGAGCCCTTTGCTGGCCAGCAGCCATTTCCACATACTTGAGGATCAGGCAGCTGCTCTCAAGGTACTCTCACAGTGGCCAGAGCTGAGCCTGGAAAGCGAGCAAGTAGGCAGGGTGATTAACTGAAGCTGAGCCTCAGCAGGGACCACAAGCTCCTGCGGAAGAACGACAGGACTTATTTCATGGATCATTTGGAGAAAACCTCATTTCAGGCTTCAGTTCTACTGATAGCTTAAGCCTAATTAAGTCCTGAACTATTTAAAGGGATTCTTGGGTGTTTGAGGATAAAAAAAAAAAAAAAGAAATGATGAAATTTAAGTCCAGGCCTTGTTCTGTTTTTTTAACCCAAAGCGCACACCCACCTATTGAAGCCCTTTCTTGTTTTCCTTGAACTCCTGATGTCAGGGAGCACAAAAATCAGATTTCTCGTCAGGACCTCTAAGAGTTTTCAGACCTCCAAAGTTTTGAGTTCTGTAAGCAATCAAGCAGATGGCCAATAGCAGTAAACAGCTCTCACCTGGACTGTGGGACTGTCTTATCCACAAACAGGAATATTGCCTTTTCAGAAGGAAGCTGGATCCTTTTCCTGATGATCCACATGAACTGAGCCACAGTGATGTCAGATGGAACCAGATACTTCCGTTTGTCAATGTCAACAATCTGAGAGCCTGAGACTTTTTCCACAATCACCTGTGAAAGCAAAGAAAGGTCAGGACTAGATTTCTAATGTGAGGCTCTGGCCCTGCATTGTTGGAGAGCTGATGAACAGTGTGTGGGCAAGCAGGCGTTTGGGAAACTGCATAACATGAGAAAATATGCCCCTGATTTAATAAACCACACACTCTGGAAGTTAAGAACTGATATAAATGTGTTATAGGGAAACGGTAAGTGCTTTTCTGTGGTCAACTATTATATTTCTCATCCCTGATCTCAGCACGCATAAGAGAAACACAGCCCTCACTACAAAGCTTTTCAACATTTTGTCTGGGCAGACTCGAAAATATCTGGTGAGGGTTTCCTCTACAGCCTGTTACTCCAGGCTGGACCACAGAATGGAGTGCCTTCACACTACAGAGGAATTAAGATCTCAAGGAACACAGGAAATGAGAATGGATGGACTAATGGGAATGACTGGCAAGCCCAGCCAGCCAAGAACGAAGCTCTTCATTTGGTCTGTTGTTTCTCTCTGAACTAAGTTTCAAATTTATCCCTCCTGCCCCCTCCCCAAAGGAACTGTTCACAAGCAATAAGCTACAATAACAGGCCTGGATGTCCTTAAAAATAAGGGTTACAGAAACTATCTCCCCTACCATGGGATAAATACAGGATAAGTATCATTGATTAAACACAAGCCACTAGCAGTGGCTTCTCAGATTTTTTTAGTCAGGAAAGGATGTCAAGATCAGAGTGAGAAAAGGGAACTAGAAGTCAGGTAAAGATGGAGGCTCAAAGTTAAAGATCAATGTCCTGAGACTAAAGTACCACTTCCAAGACCAAAGTGAAAGTCTCCCTCCACCACCATTCCCAAAAGTGGCTGTGACCTGTTGCCCTGTCCTAGAACATCGTTTATTACATAATTGTCTAGGGAAGCCCAGAGGCTTCTGACAGCTTGTTGGCCTAGATCAGGAGATTCAGCACTGAGGCATCCTGAACAGCATCAACTCAAGCCCCTCACGCCCCGGCCCCAGCTGGTCCCCTACCCAGTCTGGCCCATCTGCTACTATAACTGGGACTGGAATCTAAACTTGTCAACTGTTGAATGGCCTGGGGCCCTATCACGGGTCCTAAACAGCAAGGGTGATAGCGAGGTGAGAGGGCGGGGAGTCCACTCACCGGAACCCGGTCGGGATATTTCGCTCGGATCTTCGCAGATTCCACGCATCTGTGTTCTATGGGAGAAACGCACCGGGCTGACTGTCGCGCCTGACCGGCCGGCCGGGTCCCGAGCCCCCGGCCCTCCTCCCCACCGTGACCTGTGAACGCCCCAGGTCCTCGTTCAGGCGTCCCGGCAACCTCGGTCCCCGGTCCACTGGCTCCGGAAGGTCCCGCAGAGGTCGGCGCGGGGTGGGTGGGCAGCCGCCCGGGGTGCCGGGACCTCGGCGACCCGAGACCAGAGTGCGGCATCCGCGCCGCCGGGCCCAGCCCAGGGCGGCCCGAGTGGGGGAGGGGGCCCACCCGCCGCCCCAGCCCCCACGGCGGGGCCAATGGCCGAGCGCTTACCCAGCGAGTGGTCCTCCTTGAACATCCACTTCATGGCGGCGGCGGCAGCGGGGAAAGGATGCAGCCGGCTCTCGGAGCCGCGGAGTTCAGCGAACCAACCACAACAACAACGGCGGCGGCGGCGGCGGCGGCAGCGGTAGCGGTAGCGGCGGCGGCGGCGACTACACGGCAGGCGGGACTTCCGGCTACCGGAGTCTAGCAACCTTCAGGGGGCGGAGCTTCCGGCGCCGCTCGCTGGGACGCCGCGCCAAGGGGCGGGGCCGCATGTCAAGGGGCGGAGCCGCATGTCAAGGGGCGGGACAGGAGAGGGCGCTGAGAGGGGCTGCCGGCGGAGTGGGGATGACAGAGTTGGTGACAGATGTCCGTGAGGGATATTGGTGACTGGGGAGGGGATATTCGAGAACTGGTAACAGGAGTGGGGTCTCAGTGGACGTTGGTAAGGGGAAGGGGTGAGTGGGGCTCTGGCTGATGGGATAGGGCTCTTATAGAGGACTATTCATTAGGGAAACCTGCCTGGGGCGTTGGTGACAACAGGGGGATTTTGTAGGTATGGATGACAGAAGAGGGTTCTCTGGTGGTTGGTGATGGCAGGGGGTCTATTTAGGGCGTTGGCACTTTGGGGAGTATTGTTTGGAGTGGTTATAGATTCGGGGCTCAATCTGGAGGCTGTGACTAGTTTGAGGGGACTGTGTGGGGTGGGGTACTGATGACAAACCGGGGGTTCAGTATTGGGGACAGCCATAATAGGTTGCATTGGACCTAGAAATTGAATTTAAACAAATCCCATTTCCTTCCCTTATTCACGAATAAATGTTTGAATAAGCATTTAAGAAAAGCTATCATAACTACGCATTTGAGGAGTGTAACATCACACTTATCACAAAGAGCCCCCTTCGCCTTAACTGGCAGAAGAGTTAGAGGTGACTCTCTGGCTCAGAGAATTCCCCTGATAGCTGGTCATGAGATGGGTTTCTTTGCCATTCAGCATGGGGTTCAGCAATCACAGCCTAGGCTGTGTGTGTGTGTGCCATCTGCCTGAGCACAGGCCTTCAGGGTCTCCAGTGATGTCATTCCTTTCTTCCTCCAAGAGTCATCAGGGCAGTCCGCTCTGGTTCATCATCTGTTTATGAGCTGGTGAATACGGAACAAGATATTCACTTAATTGGGACACATGATCCTTGCCACGTGCTTGTGATTCTGATGCATCTGAAAGACCTGTTTGTTTGAACATTGTCATTCATCATTTCCTCAGTTGAAACTCCTGATGGATGTTGTGGAATCTAGCTTTATTCTGAAATTATTTTTGATATTTTAAGACTGTGTGTCTGAGCAACTAAAATCCATGTTTGTTTCTTGCCTGTTTTAAATGAAATGAAAAATCCTTTGAATTTCATACCTAGAAATTATTGTTGTTGCATATAGGAGCACTGTTCTAAGTGTTGGGGGAAAGCAGTGAACAGAACAGACAACACTTGCACTCTTATGGAGTTTGCATTCTAGTGGGACAAAACAAAAAAAATATGTTGGGTAATGATAGGTGCTGTTTAGAAAAATAAAGCATGGTGCTTGACTAGAGAGTGATGTGTGGGATCAAATGCATATTAGATAAAGTGGTTTGGCATATTCTAGGAACAGGAAGGAACCCCTTGTGGCTGGAGCTGAATAAATAAGAGGGTGTGTGTTAGGAGGTGAGATCAAAGGGATCTAGAACAAAAGTGAGTTGAGCTTTGAATTCCATTTGAAGAACTTTGGATTTTATTTAGAATGAAATGAGAAGTCAGTGGAGGGTTTTTGTTTTTGTTTCTTAGTATTTATTTATTTGGCTGTGCCGGGTCTTAGTTGCGGCATGTAGGATCTTTAGTTGTGGCATGTGGGATCTAGTTCCCGGACCAGGGATTGAACCCAGGCCCCCTGCATTGGGAGCGTGGAGTTTTAGCCACTGCACCACCAGGGAAGTCCCAGTGGAGGGTTTTAAGAAGTGTGACAGGCATGAAGAACCTAGGGGCAAGACGGGAATAAAGACGCAGACCCACTAGAGAATGGACTTGAGGACATGCAGAGGGGGACGGGTAAGCTAGGACAAAGTGAGAGAGTGGTAGTGTATATATGGACATATATATACTACCAAATGTAAAATAGAGAGCTAGCGGGAAGCAGTCGCATAGCACAGGGAGATCAGCTCGGTGCTTTGTGACCACCTAGAAGGGTGGGATAAGGAGGGTGAGAGGGAGGGAGACGCAAGAGGGAAGAGATATGGGAATATATATATATATATATATATATATATATATATATAACTGATTCACTCTGTTATAAAGCAGAAACTAACACACCACTGTAAAGCAATTATACTCCAATAAAAATGTTAAAAAAACCAAGTGTTATGATATGACTTTCCTTTTTAAGTGATCAGGCTAGCTTCTGTGTAGACAATAGACTATAGGGGGTTGAGGATGGAAGCAAGGGAAGAGTTAAGAGGCTATTGTGATCATCTAGGTATATGATTTTGTTGCTTTAGACCAAGAAGTTATCTGTGGAGGTGTTGGGAAGCAGCTGTGTTCTACATATATTTTGAAGGTAGATCCAACAGAATTTGCTGGTCAATTGAATGTGAGTTATGAGAGATGAGTCTAAGTCACGGTTTTGGAAGAATGGAGTTGCCATGTACTGATGTACTGGAATAGGGTGGAGCCAGCGGGGGGTGGGGGGGCAAAGCAAGGCTTTGGTTTTGGTTATATTAAGATGCCCAAGAGACACATCCAAGTAAAGATGTAGAGTAGGTAGACGGATCTATGAGTCTCAAATTCAGAAGAGAAGTATTTAAAGCTATCGAACTAGAGATCCGCTAGAGAGTGAGTATAAAAATGAAAATACCTATTTTGCGAATAGAGCTAAACACTGAGGAATGAAGATGGTTATTCACCATCTGATAATGAATCAGTGAAGGAGATAGAAATTGGTCCGAAGACCCCCTGCTTCCCTTTACAGAGCTGGCCATTGAGTCCTAGTTCAAAGCATGTGTACACCAGCTTGCACCTGGAAGAACTTAGTACACTTCTCAGGGGAGAGATCTGCTGCTCACCAGCTTACAGGCATGTATGTCATCTGATGGTCTCAATGATGTGCAGTGTCTGTCTTCTATCTTTACCTACCTTCTTGATGTCCTTTTCCAGTTCACCATTCTAACTGGTGTCTCTGATCTGCCTTGATGATATGCATCACCTTCTTTACCTATTGGGTCATTATATTTAGCTTACTGAATGTTCTAAGGACACTGGATCTCTTCCTTGAGAGGGTTGTTAGTTGACGAGGTGAGTCAGAAGAAGAAATAGGATAATACATATATGCAATTACACATTCACCAACTTGTGAAACATGGAGAGTAAATTTCAAAGGTATGTGAACATGGATACTGAGGGATGGCTAGGACAATGGGGGCTGACACAAAGCCAAGTGTGGCTTATCAAGAAGGACTTCACAGAGGGACTTCCCTGGTGGTCCAGTGGATAAGACTCCACGCTGCCAATGTAGGGGGCCTGGGTTCAATCCTTGGTCGGGGAACTAGATCCACATGCATGCTGCAACTAAGGAGCCTGCATGCCGCAACTATGAGCCCACATGCTGCAGCTAAAGATCCCACGTGCTGCAACTAAGACCCAATGCAGCCTAAATAAATAAATAAAAATTTTAAAAAAGACTTCACAGAGAATGTGAATTTTATATTTCAGAAAGAAGGGCGCATTTTCCAAAGTGTAAACTTTCCTTAACAGATAGAAACAAAGCCTGGAGTTGGAAGAGGGAACTGGGAAGTCAAAGGTTTGGTGATATAAATGCCAAGGTGAAAGAAATGTTGGAAAGTGTTGAAGCAAACATTCAGGAGTTCTAACCTGATTCAAGAGACCCTGAATGGGCGCTTATAGAAAGGAGTAGAATACGATTTTTTTAAATTTAATTTTATTTATTTATTTTTGGTTGCATTGGGTCTTCGTTGCTGTGCGCAGGCTTTCTCTAGTTGCAGCGAGCGGGGGCTACTCTTGGTTGCTGTGTGCGGGCTTGTCATTGCCATGGCTTCTCTTGCAGAGTACAGGCTCTAGAGTGCAGGCTCAGTAGTTGTGGCACAGGGGCTTTTTTTCTCTGTGACGTGTGGGATCTTCCCGGACCAGGACTCGAACCAGTGTCCCCTGCACTGGCAGGCAGATTCTTAACCACTGCGCCACCAGGGAAGCCGTAAAATATGATTAAAATGCATAGTTTTTAGAGAACGACTTTCTTTGTCCTTGGAGGTAAATTGCATAAAACACAAGAAAATTATGGAAATGGAAACTGAGACGTCAGTTCTTAGTCAAGAATGTGTGAAAATGACACAATATAGACAAATCTTTAGCATTTAAAAAAATTTAATATTCTGTCAAGAATTGAAATAAAACCACAAAAAGTAGTTTCCTCAAATCAGGGGAACAAAGAGTAAATATTAGCATCTGTTATTATTAAACACTTTTGCAAAGCTCATGGCATCTCAGAGGAGGCTGAAGCACTTCATACACCCAAATTCTTAGTAGTCACCTCCGTTTCAGCAGTGACTAAGCTGACACCAGCTACAGCATGTGTTTCCTTCTGAAAGAAGGAGCTTTGGAGGCAAACACCTCCTTCCTCACAGCAGAGCCACCCTCGGGAAGCAACATCAGAACCATCTATTCTAAATTTTATTTTAATGGGTTTTTTTTTAATATTGATTTTTTTATCTTGGCTGCACTGGGTCTTAGTTGAGGCACTCGGGATCTTCCTTGTAGCATCTTTAGTTGTGGCATGCAGGATCATTAGTTGCGGCATGTGGACTTCTTAGTTGCGGTGTGTGGGCTTCTTAGTTGCGGCATGTGAACTCTTAGTTGCAGCATGCACACGGGATCTAGTTCCCCAACCAGGGATTGAACCCCAGCCACCGATCTAGTTCCCCGACCAGGGATTGAACCCCAGCCACCGGCATTGGGAGTGCAGTCTTAACCTCTGGACCAGTAGGGAAGTCTCCTGGTTATTTAAATAAATGAAAGACATTCACTTAAAGCATAAGTACAGTATAATGGCAGAATCATAACATAGATTTAAGCCTAACAGTTGTTGTATTTAAGAGCTGTGTTGCCACCCCAGAAAAGCTTTAAAGCAAAAATGAGTGGTAATGGACCAGATATG